TGCCCTTCTGGCTAACTCCTGCCTGCTTCTGCCTTTAAGCTCTTCACTTAACAACCGAGTCATAAGAACGGAATTAAGTGAGGAGTGCCAGATAAGAACAGAACTCGGTCGTTAAGTGAGGTGTGCCAATACTTACACATTTTCTTGTCCTCAATGGACAAAATAAATAGTGATTGCAAAATGTGTCGCTCCTGCATAAGAGCAAAAAGACCATGAGCAATAACATTTTTGCTTGTTGTGGGTTTTTCGGGCTCTTTGGCCGTGTTCTGAAGGTTGTTCTTCCTAACGTTTCACCAGTCTCTGTGGCCGAAACGTTCTGAAGATGCCGGCCACAGAGACTGGCGAAACATTAGGAAGAACAACCTTCAGAACACGGCCAAAGAGCCCGAAAAACCCACAACAACCATTAGATCCCGGCCATGAAAGCCTTCGCGAAAATAACATTTAAAAAAAATTGTATTTTTTATAAAAAAACATACTTTGCATTTTAAAAACTTACATTTCTTCCATGATGTGAAGTTTTCTATCCAAAAAACAAGATTTCCTAACAAAATATTACTTTAGCACACATACACAAGTCAGCAAATTTTTTTCCCATTAAAATGTGCTAAAAGGAACACACACAAAAATTAACACATGGTCCAAAAAGCTCATAATCTCCCCCAGTGGGAAAGAAATTTCAAATGTTTTCTTTCCGCCTGGAAGAACAATGTCAAGTGAAGATTTATATCCTTATTCTAAATTGTAAATGACTTAGCTTGTTCCGGACCCCAGGGCTGGCCTGCCTATATAATCACAAAATAAAAGAAGACAGCAAGAAGTAGGAAGAAACAAATTCTGCACACACATGAGACAGCATAATTGAATGTGTGTCAAGCTTACATGACATTGATGTAAAGCCCCAGTGCCTCAGCATAGAAGCCCTGGTATTTCCAAGACTGGGCAAAATTTGTCTAAGAAAAAAATAACTCAAAGCAAAAGAGCAGAATGACATGGGAGGCAGTTCACTACCCTCCCTTACCATTTCCTTAGTGGAACAATTTAACTCCCTCCCATCATTTCATTTCATAATCCACATTTTATATAATTCTACAAGGCCATGCTTGTGGCAGGTTCCCCAACAAAGTCTGTGTTGATCACTGGCTGCTGATGAGTTTGTCCAGGACATCCAGAGGGCACCGCGTTGTGGAAAGCCAAGCATTCTAGTGCATGTTCGGCAATACAGTTGCCAAGTCTTTTGCAACTTGGTAAATATACGTGGGTGGCTAAATCAGTTCTGTTTCGTGACTCTTTGTTCTGCTCACTTTAGCTGGTAAATAACCCATTCATCCCTAGTTGCGTGTTCTAACAGACAGTCACTGTGTATTGCATGTAAAGTAGCTTATATATGTTTCCTCTTAAAGCATATGTCTAAATGCAATTGCTATTCCTAACTAAAGTAGACCCATTGACTCCTAGCGATGAGATTTTCAGAATTAAAGAACTCTCAGTCCCATGATTCAGCAGGAGTCCCCCAGGCTGGATTATGGGTCTGGGAACCCTCAAATTAGCAGAAATTACCTCCATGATCTTCCCATCCTGCTTCCTTGAACTGTTGAAGAAAATCACCTCATGGCACCACGGGAGTCATAAGGATTCCCAGCAACTCACAAAGGTGCGTGAGGGAACTGGTTCCAATGGAGGCTGCCATATGAAGGCAGCTTCCATCGGAATTCATTCCCCTGTGCACCCTTGTTCTTTAATTCTGGAAAGCCTGTCCCTAGTAAATCCCATTGATTTAATAGGTCTACTCTATTTGGATCTGGCAATTGGATTTAGACCATCGTCTTCAAAACCTTTGTTCCAAAATGTTGGTATTAACTGTTTGCCTCTCTCGGTTTTCATTGTTGTTCTTTCCATCCCAAACCTCATTTTTAGAGCCGCATCCTTCCTGATAGTGGGTCATCTTTGATCTGTCATCCATTTAAATTTACTCAGGGTCACTCTGTTAAATGTATTCACCTGGGCTCTAGTTTGTGGCCAATGAGTCCTGGATGCTAGGAGTGACCTGACATACCTGAGTCTTCTTCCCAGGCTCCCTTGTGCCAGGGAGAATGCGTCAGAAAGTATGCTGCTGGCCGGCCAATCGGGAATAGCCGGCAATCCTTGGAGAAGACAGGCAAAGATATAAAGGGTGCTTCTGGCTCCTCTCCAACAGGCTTCCAGCAGACTTCAGCTGGAGAGAATCAGAGCAAGAAGACCCAACAGAGCAGCAGGAGCGGCAGGCAAGCAAGACGACTTTGGATATCGGAGCAGCGACAGTGGAGGCGATGATGTGACAACTACAAGGGACAAAGGCACTATGGAAAGAGGTGGCTGAGAAGTGACGGCAGTGAAGATGTGACTGCAGTGGCTGAAAGGAGGCAACAGCAAAACCAGTATGAGATGAATCACTGGAAACACTGGAGCTGAAATCACTGCCAGGCAGGGCATATTACCATCGCTGGCTGGAGCACATCGCTGGTGAGAACTTGACAGCTGTATGCTTGTGTGTGTGTATGTGTGTGTGAGGAACACACATGCTTGTGTGTGCGGGCAGAGAGAGTGGCCTTGGCTGCCAGATGGGCGGTATAGAAATCAAATAAATAAATAAAAAATAGGTCCTTGGACGGCAGCAGGCACAGCAGGACGCATTCACCCTGCCCAGCCACCACCACCTCCTTCATGGGGGGGGGTGTTCATGCAGTGTCAGCCACTGCCCACCTACCTTCTCATGCCAATCAGGCCTGGGGTGCAGCAGGATGGTCTTGGCACAGAATAAGGAGCAGATCCTTGCATTGGATGCCCTGCATGCCTTCTGATGCCCATCTTCCCAACACATTACTGGGTCACACAGGGAGCTGGTAACCAAAAGTGGGTATGCAACCCCCTGGGCACAAATCCACTGGAGAAATATCCCCTGGTTCCAATGCGGGGAATGGTGGTGGCCCAACTCAGTCAGGGCTCTAGCTTGCTCAACCCTTCCTTCGTGACTGCACTGAATTGAAAATGGGTTAGTAGAGCCTTATTTGGGTCTACAAACAGCAGGCCCACAGACTGAGGCTGGTGATATATGAAGTCCCTCATTTTGCAGGGCCTCTGGCCCTTCTCAAGTCTATGTAATCCTCCCACACCCTCTGTTTCATGTTGGACCCATGAAAACAGATTCCCATGCAATCCTTGCTCATAACCACGTCTCCGATGCAGAGAGCTGTCATGGTTGTATCTTGCTTGGAGGGAGCTGCCAGCTCACTCACTTGCAGTGCCCCCAAAGAATACCAGTGTGACTGCCACCCTCAATAAGAGGACTTCAAATGGGGCCAGCAAACCTCAGGGAATTCCTTTAATTACTGTGCTAACAACTGGAATGCAATAGGTCTATGGCTATTCCTTCTTGGTAGTGCCATCCTCCCCCAACCCTGAATAACCTTAGCCCAAAACGAACCACAAGGGGCTATGTCTCTAGTGGTCATATTTTTAAAAAAGCAATAGCTGCCATAATGGATGGCCATGATCTTTCTTCATCATCCTTCTTAATGCCTGGTATCCATAGGCAAGGTCCTCTGAGGCTGGCCACCCCCATCCCCTAAGTCCTAGGGCAAGTACCTTCCTGTATGATCTCCGCATGCATAGCATTATGGTGTGCAACTCTCCCTGGATTATGACTTGCTGCCAAAGCTCAACAGGTTCTCGGGAAAGGCGTCTGGGTGTGGTGCTGCATCAGAGACCAGAGCACAAAACTGAAATAGAGTCACAGCATCTGCAATGCTGTCATTTGTGCCTGGTATATGGTGAGCCACAAAGGTGATGTTTCCTGAAAGACAAAACATCTACGAGCACAAAACAGCATCTCAAACACATGGCCCTAGGAGAGTGAGACACCTGTCATTTTATTATGTGAACCAGCACCTGGTTATCACATCAGAAGAGCATCCGCAAATCCCTTAACTCTCCTTGCCAAATGGACATTGCCACCATAAGGGGGGGGGGAGAGATTCCAGAAGTGTCAGGTACCATCTGAAGTCAGACCAAAGGAACCCCTCAAGCTAGCACTTTGCGTCCCATCAGCTACAGAAGTAGACCCCAAAGTCTGTATTGCCTGCTGCATTGTAAGGCACTTGCGGTGCAGTGCTAGCCTGCAATTGATTCTGCCAGAATGAAAGCCCATTACATTTTTCTTAAAAAAAGAAGCCATACCCATCTTCCGTCATACCAGCTAGATAGAATCTATAGGTGACGATGTGCTGCCTTTATATCTGCCCTGGATCTGGCTAGCCTGGCCCGGAATGGTCACCCAGGCAAAACCACCCTGCAGGCAATATCAAGATGCCTTATGATCCTTTGCATCTCCTTCATGGCACATTTTTTTCTGCTGCAGCATCCACTGTCGGTGGGGTGGTGACCTTTTCTATAGGAAGCCTAGGTGTCCCACAATTAAAATCCAGGTGAATCCTGAGGAAAGTGAGCCCGGAAGTGGGACCCTCCATTTCTTCCTCCAGCAAAAGGACACCGGGATCCCCTGTCAATACCCGAAAGGCCTGCAAATAGGCAAAACAGATTGCACATTCTTGTGAGTTGGTAAGACTCACAAAAAAATATTCAACTGCAGTCCTGCTTTTGCAATTTCTTCTTCCACCTGTGTCAGGAGTTGTTTCAAGTCATTGCCGCTTTCCTACTGATAAAATTGTGAATCTTATAATGTACATATAAATTCTTTTATGTAAATTTTGTACAAATATATTCTTTTCTTTGTCTTTCATTTGGCTGATGCATTAGCTGTTTGGGGAAGATGTTACCTCCTAGAAGAAAATTACAAAAGTAATAATTTTTGCAATCTTTTTCTGTACCCAAGGACATAAAATTGATCCCTCTTTTTTTTAAAAAAAATGCTTATACTGCAAAAGATACTTTCATTTGCACATTCCTTTGGGCAACATATTAAAATGCCTTTGAACACTCCTAGTTAATGTTTAACTTGGCAGGCCACACACAGAGAGTTCGTTTTGATATATATAAAGCACATGAAGACTCTGAGGTCTACCTGAATGCAGCAAGTTTCTCTGAATATTGTAAGTATTCATGGTTTCTTTTTTTCTTTCCTTTCAACTTTAGAAAAACTTGTATGACTTTCTTTCATCATACTGCTTCATTTTCATATGACAGCTTGTCTGGCACTGATCCAACTGACTTTTAAGTGACTTTCCCCAGTATTAGCATAATAATAGTAATGCTTGCACTGTATATTCTTCTGCAGAATTCTGCATAGATTTATTGAAACAGTCCGCATGGCCCTGCAAGATTCTGGGAAATGCAGCCCAAATAAGTAGCTTTTCTGAATTCTGGGTCTGCCAAGTCCAGGTATATGGTTGGCGACTTCAAGATCTCACTGTCCCTTTGTGTTCTTGATCTTGAAACCAGATTTAGTCTGGAGAGCATACCAAACTTATGAGGAAACTCCCTCCAATTCCAGGAGCGCTCAAGTCATATGAGCCACCTGTGCTGATACCTTGAAACAAAAGGTATCATCATTCTGCTCTGCAAAAGTATATAACTACAGTACTCGTCCCAGCCCACTAATTCAGGATGTTGGTGAAACATTAAAAGAAGAAGCCTTTCAGAGTTTTATACTCCATGATGAGGACCCAAAAGGTTGGACCAAACTATCTATTATAGATAACTCATAATTAGAAATTGAGTCATTTAGTATTTAATGAACACATATAGTATTTCTTGTCAGAGAAATCAAACATTCAAAGAAGGAAAGTGTTCTGATCTGTGTGCAACCCAATCACAAAATGAAGGAAGATAACTTCCAAATTACAGGATGTGAAAAAAATCTTCTGCTGTGAGAATTACATGCCACTGGCACTTAATGAATTCCTTATCTGAGGAATGATCTCTCTGTAATGTGGAGTGGTATGGATGTAAACAAGAAAAAACAGAGCCTGTCACATTTAAAAATTATGTATTTGTAATCGGAATGATCTCTCTGTAATGTGGAGTGGTACAGATGTAAACAAGAAAAAAGAGAGCCTGTCACATTTAGAAATTATGCATTTGTAATCCTGTGTGAACAAAAATTTAACATATCTGGCAGAAAGGGACCTCAATATTTGGCAGATCGCCTTCTTCCACTAGATCTACCCGAATCAACTGACATAGCCAGCTTCAATATTTGGCAGATCGTCTTCTTCCACTAGATCTACCCGAATCAACCGACATAGCCAGCAGGGACAACTGAGGGGCCTGACGCCGAGGGAGGCCCGGAAGGAAAAAAAACAAGAAACCGGGCCTTCTCGGCAGTGGCCCCTCGGCTGTGTAACACTCTTCCAACCAAAATTAGGCTGGCACTCTCACTGGGTGTTTTCAAAAGCCAGCTAAAAACTTGGCTATTCAAGTAGGCCTTCCCTCCAGTGAATTAAGTGATTCTTATTTCTCTTTCTTTTTAAGTCATGTCATCTTGGTAATGTTTTCTTCGAATTAATTGTTATAATTGTAATTTTTTTCATGATTTTATATATGTCATATTGCCCTTTTTTATCTATGTAAGCCACCCCGAGTAGACATTGTCTAGAGGGGCGGGGTAAAAATCAAATAAATAAATAAATAAATAAATAAATAAATAAATAAATAAATAAATAAAAATAAATAAATAAATAAATAAAGGGGGGAGAAAGAAAAGAGAAATGTGCATTTCCAGAACTCTGCAATATACTGATAATGTAGACCTAATAATTCATAACTTATGAGTAAGAATCAACCTTTTGAAAAGAAAGCAGGATTGACATAGCCCCCTACACTGTCTCCCGTGTTAGAACTGACTCACAGGTTTCTTTGAAAACATTGCCAACAGCCATGGGTGAATGGATGCACTTCTATGCGGTGGGGCTGAATCTAGAGCTGCCCTCCGGGGCATAAAGACTGCAGGGCAGAAGATGATTTGTCAAAAATTGCCTCCCACACCTCATCCCATTGGGAGGTCTGGATCACAGAGTTCTGTTCCACATGGCTCTAGCTGCAAACCATTTTTTACTTTGTGTTCGAGTGCTGTTGGATGGCACTTCGTTATACTTGCATTTCAGCATTTTACAGCTGCTGCTAGGTGGCATCAAGTGGCTTCTGAATGATGGCAATCCTAGTAGACTTTTTGAAGTATGTGAGATGTTTGAGAAGCGGTTTACCATTGCCACTGACAGTGCGTTTCCACAGCCAAATTAAAATTAGAACCCAGCTCTCCTGAGTCTTAGTTCAGTACTCTATCCAAGACACCACACTTTCTTAGTTTTTTTAAAAAAAATAAAACTAAACAAAATTTTATTACATTTTTGTGCTGCCAGCTCCCTTGAACATTGGAAAGGCAGGATACAAATGTAATAATTTTTAAGAAATGTGGATTACAGTATTTATTTATTTAACTTATATGCCGCCCAGACTACCAAAAGGTCTCTGGGCGGCTTACAACAATTTGAATACAATAAAAAGATGAAAAGATAAAACAATTAAAATACTATTAAAAAATTACAATGCTCGAAAAATTGCCATCAGGACCCACAGTTTATATTATTTTAATTAATAACCTTCTGGAACAGGAAGGTTTTGACCTGGCACCGAAATGTCATCAGTGGTGTGATAGTCCGTATCCATTTAACTGTTCGCACTCAGGTTCCTACACAGATTTCCCATACATGATCCTTCAAAGAAGAGCCCTCAGTGTATGACTCAGTTCTTCAATGAGTAGGAGAGCCATCCCAAACCTATGAGAGCATGTACTCATTGCCACTTTTGATGGGGCAAAAATCATTGAGAGGCAACGTAACACAAGGCTGTGCAGAAACAGCTTGAGGTAGCGCAAGTGGCCCAGAGGCTGTATGTTGTCCTCTCTTCCCCTTGTAAGACTGTAGTGGTGACATTTAAAGTTGCCCTAAGTTTAGAAGCCTCCTGTTCCTTGTCGACATTAGCCTTCATTGGAACCCCCATTTTTCTTAGACCGTGCTTAGCGGAGTTGCTGTTCTACTCAGAACAAAGTATCTACCTTTAAGGGTATGAGGTTAAACCATATTCTCTTAATCAAGAAGCCTGGAATAAGTCCTAACAGACTTTTAAATAGGGTGGATGATTTTAATTTTTTTTTTAAAAAATCAAAGTTCCAGACTTTTAAATAGGGTGGATGATTTTAAAAAAAATTTGTGATTTGAATCAATTTGATTGTGATTTGAATCAATTTGATTTTTACCAATTTGATTTTTATTCACCCTACTTTTACAATATTTGAAATCCTTTTGTTCATCCTTTTTCAACGTTATTTGCAGAGCTTGAACATGTTATTTTTTCAGACTACAATACCCAAAATCCCACTACTGCAGATTGTAGGAGTTGTAGTATGGGGGGAAAATAACATTTCCACTGTCTCATTATATGTAGCATGTTTTAAACCACTTATTTTCCCCCCCTCACTATTTAAACTTCACCCACTCTCTTCTCCCCCTTCTCTCTGTCTGACACATACACCCCATCACCAGCACTCTACCTCATACACAAATTTATTCCAGGATGCTTGCACACATCTAAACCTACTCACTGTATTCTCACATCTCTCTTCCTTTCATACACCCATACATACACTGACACACTGTTCATTTCAATTTGAAAGGTAAATAGCATTTCCATTAGCATCTTCTCAGTCTCCTCTACGATGTTTGCTTGCAGCTATTTGACTGAGAGGCATGCATAGAAGCCACATGCATCAAACAACTTTCAAACACTTTCTAGGAGGCCAAACTAGGGATGTAATGAAGATTTCTAAAAAAATCCTTCTAATTCCGAGTAATTTCCCTGGTTCCACCATGCTGAGAATTCTCAATGAGACTCCCCTGGCAGTAACTAGATTTCTCTAACTCTTCATAGAAACAAGGTCCAGGTCTCATTTTCCCTCGCCCCAGATTTGTCTGTTCATTTGCACCGGAAACTGCCAAAATCTGTGCAGTTCAAAGCCCTTTCCAGGGAATCTTACACAGGAAAGATATCATTTTGCACAGAAATAATAATCAGTCTATGCAAATCAGTATTTCGCGAGGGGGGGCAATAACCCTGAAACATGAGAAATCTGACAAGATCTCTTGGCAGCTTTTCCCTCAGTTTCTTGCTCAGCATGAGAGTGTGAGGTCCCTAGGCCAAATTTTGAATGAAAACTCTGCTTTAAACACAAAGAGCAGTCCCAGTCGTGTGCACAGTCATGGGTGGCAGGTTTAAAACGCAAAAGAAATACTTACAAACCCTTTGCTCCCATAATAATTCCCCCCTTCAACCTCTCTCTGCTATTGAAAATGAGCACAGCCTGAAGGAAAGTAACTTGGGGACAGTATAAAGAAAGGAAGAAGAGGATCTAACAGCCCCCCCCCTCCACAAATGCACAGATACAGATACACATTTTCTGCTTCACATTGCTCTGCTTCCAACAATTTTACATATCATGCAGGAAGCGCCATGTTCAACAAAGCAGGCCAGCTCTTGTCACATCTAGTTCGGCCAGAACATGTTGGGAAATCCACATTTTGGGTGAAGATTTGTAATCTGGCAGAAATACTGTTCTAATAAGGATGCAGGCTACTTACTGCTTGTTGAAAAGAATAAACTACCTGTGGACACAGCTCAGTTAAGGGAGACTTAAAGATGCCAGTGGTTAAATTCCTTGCAAACAGTATTTTCTAACCCACTTAGAACATCTAGCTTCCTATGAACTTACCATTCTATTCTGACACTCTCTCAAAAAATGTCTGATTTATGAAGCGTAGAAAGTTCAGTATCTACTACTTAAAAACTATAGTAAAGACCAAAACAACATTTCACATCATTTTGCCCTAAATATATTTCCCCCCTAAATGTAGCAAAAATGTGGCTTTGACTTTTTATCACAAAATTTGCAATTAAAGTCCATAATGCTTTTGTGAGTGTTGTGATAAAAAGTCAAAGCCATTTTAAAAAAATTGTACAGCCTTGACAATAACAAATATTTGGAGCATTTCAGACTCTATATAGTCCCAATTCATATCAGGGGCCTGACTAAATGATGGTTCTGCAATTTATTGGCAGACACAAATTTGCTTTTTCCTCTTCCTAACCTTTTATAATGACTTGCACCATCATTTTAATTCACCCAGACTGTGTGTACCCCACTGATTATCCAAAGGCATCAATGTTTTTTCTGGGAGTAATGCCCTGAATGATGCTTTTCAAAGTTTTGCTCAATTTCAAATATTTGCTTCCTCTAACAAATATTTGTGCTTTCACCCTGGGGAACAAAGTTGAAGTCTGATCGTCTGTTTGAGTTTTGTTTGGTTTTCAAGAACCTCGACAAACTGTGATGAATTTAACAAGATCCGGCTGTCTGAAAAAAACGTTGCCACACAGTTACTTTAGAGCCCAACTGGTCAGTTGAGCAAAACTGAATCACATTTTGAACAATTTGATTTTGACCATCATATTTAATAAGAGAATAAATTAATAAGAGAATAAATTAATTATCTTTTAAAGGAAGAAAAGCAGAAATTTGAATAAAGTCAGTGTGCTGTGACTAAAAACCCTTTATATATATAGCATAGTATATATATAACATTATATATATATACCATAGACGTATATATAGCATAGCAAGTTGCAACTCTTTGTGGTTTCCACTCAGCCAATCAACTCTTGCCTGACTGACTCCCCCACGCTATTCAGACAATTTGGATCTGTGTTCTAGGCTTGTTATGAGGAGAAATCACCTTTTACTGTAAAGGTGCCTCAAAGGTCTTCCCATGATTTTCCTGCAGTTCTCATTCTTTGTATGGCCCTTCTCCTGTGAAGAACATGTTTGGTTCTGCATCACCCTTCCCAATTGCTTCTCAGATTCACTTCTGCATAAGTGTAGATGTAGGAGAATCACAGCCAACAAGGCAAGTTGAGGGGTTCATACTTAGCTGTAGAAACATCAACAAATTCCATATAAAGTTGCAAAATGACTGCCACAAGAATCCAAAGGGAAGTGGCCTACAGTAGTAACTGTTACTTCAAGTCAACTGTTGAACTGATTGCAGCTTCAGTGCCGATCTTTACCTCCTGCCAAGCTCAAAGGTAAGGCAGCCCTAAACAGTATAATACATGTTTTGCAAATCATTGTATCCGGTTTAATGCACAGTTCAATGTTGAATTCATACCTTTAAGGCCATAACATAACATACCAATAATCCATGCATATTTAAATGCAGTATTTTAGGAGGAGCTGTTACATATTGTTCTGAAATACAAATGGAGAACCAAGGCTTGCCCAGGCTCAATGATGGTTAAACAAAAGTATGAACCATAGTCACTGTAGTTGAGATGCTCCATATTAGCATCTGTGCCCATGGAGCTAGATGTACCATCCCCTGTTTGAGTAACTATCTGATGGACAGCACTGCATAATCTGCTTTGATGTCTTCAGAGTGCAAACCCTGGGTGCAGATAAGAATATTGACATCTATAGTGTATAAACTGAATTATTGTGTAATTCCCATGTTATAGTATTCTTGATTGAAGACTGGCAGTTTATCATGGGATGCTTTTCCCCTTCCTGTCTTTTCTTTTTTCTTGTCGGCCGTCAGGATTCAAGATGTCTGTAAGACTTTGAATAGCAGTAAGATGATTTGGTGCCACATCCCCCTGCCTGCTTTTTTTTCCTAATGCATTTTCTTTTTTCTTTTGTCTTTTTTTTTAATTTTTAAACATATATTTTTCCTAATGCATTTTGTAGGAAGTAAAACATCCTTCTCTTTCTTTTAATTCACAGAATTACTGACAAGAAGAATGAATTCTGCTGTCTATCTGTGCTTGATATTGCTTGGCCTTTGTGCCACCATCCAAGGCCACCACCTGGAGGGTCATGATGACAACACAAGTGCAAATGCTCTTAAAATATATACCTACACTGCTCAATTTGCAGTTACATTATACAAAGAGCTTTCTGCAGCATCACCTGGCAAGAATGTTTTCTTCTCACCCCTCAGTATCTCAGCTATATTTTCACTTCTCTCACTGGGGGCAAAATCAACCACCCACACTCAGATTCTAGAAGGCCTTAGCTTTAACTTGAGCACAATCCAGGAAAAGGAAATTCATCAGAGTTTCCATGACATCTTCTCCGTGCTGACTCGCCGTGACAGTCAGATCCAGCTCGACATCGGACAGGCCTTGTTTCTGAAAGAGGACAAAAAGCCACTGCAGAAATTTTTGGATGACATCCATGGCTTCTATGATGCAGAGATTTTACCGACAAAATTCCAGGAACCAGTGGAAGCTGAGAAACAGATCAATGATTATGTAGAAAAGAAAACCCATGGGAAAATTGTGAAGTTGGTCAATGGCCTTCAAGAAGATACCGAACTGGTGTTGGTTAATTACATGTTCTTTAAAGGTAAACAACGAGAGTTCAATAGATAATTCTTCTAGTCAAATAGATATGCAACTCTTATGCTACTCTTAATACTAGAACTGTAGGGCATGCACAGAAGGTGGATAATGGAAGATTACAGAAGAGGTAGAAAGAACCACCTCTTTGGACATTGCATAGTTAAATGGTGAGATTCTTTCTCACAAGATGCAAAGAAAGACACCAAATTTGGATGGTGCTTTGTTCTGCAAAGGGGCTAGGACGATTACCTAACATCCCAAGAGAAAACCAAAACCTTGCAGAGAGCAGCTGACCAGGGTTTTCAGGCAACGGCTATTGTGAAAGGCAGATCAAAAAGCCCACAAAGAATTTAGAGGCAAGGCTCAGGCAAACAAACAGGGAGGGTTCAGGAAACAGGCACACTCAAAGCTGGCCAAGGGTTCAAGTCTTGAAAAGCTTCAGAGATGAGTTTCAGAAAAAGAAGCAGGCAGGGATGGGGCACCAGATGTGGCCAAAAGTGGAAAAGAACCAAAGAAGTGCCCAAGAAGCAGCTAGACAAATTTCTCTAGCTACTTTGCTAGTTTGGAACTGAGGCTTTTAAGCTGAACCCATCCTATATTCAGCTACAACTCCTCAGAGGCCTATGGAAGAAATCATCTGAAAGCCAAGAGCTTCTGTACAGCGGCCCTTTCCAATGGAGCACCCTATGGCTGTCTGGGGAGCCTGACACATTTGAAGGGGGCCACAGACTGGAAACAATTCTTCACACACCACCTTATAAAGGCTTGTTATGTGACTTAAACAATCATGATTCAGCCTATACAGTGGTGCCTCGCATTACGACGTTAATTTGTTCCAGCGAAATCGCTGTAGAACGAAAACGTCATAATGCGAAAATAAAAAGCCCATTGAAACTCATTGAAATCCCTTCAATGCATTCCAATGGCCTGGAAACTCACCATCCAGCGAAGATCCTCCATAGGGCGGCCATTTTCGGTGCCTGCGCAGTGAGGAATCCATCCCAGAAAACAGCGGGGAGCCATTTTATTTACCCGGTGGCCATTTTGAAACCGCCGATCAACTGTCCAAAAATCATTGTTTTGCGAAGAATCGGTTCCCAAAGCAGGGAACCGATCATCGCAAAGCGAAACAAACCCATTCAGATCATCGTTTTGCTATCGCAAAAGCAATCGCAAAAACATTGTCGCAATGCGGTTTCATCGTAATGCAGGACAATCGTGAAGTGGGGCATGACTGTATTTCTTTTATATTGTGTTTATGGCCATGGTTTGAAAAAGGTTGAGAATGGCTGGTCTAGAGCCTGAGGTCTTGAGTGTACCTCTTCAGATGCTGATGTTCTGAGGGACTGGGGGTTGCCGAGACCCTGAATCTAAGCTTCTCTCTTCACATAAAGGGTAGGTCATCAGCCATCTCCCCTAATAGTCCATGTTCATTCTGGGCCTCTGATGGTCTGCTGGTTTTGAAAGTCTTGTCTGTCGCTGGAGCTCCAGAAAAGCACCTCTGGAAAGAGGTTCTCTGGCAGGGGCATGGCAAGGGGGGCTTCAGAAGGGGATTGGACAAATATCTGTAGGATTGCCCCCTCAGTGTCTATGAGTGAGCCCCTAAGGAGGGTTGCATCCACATTTGAGGGTGGAGAAAGAAAAGCACCCTTTGGCAGGGAGGGTGTTAAAGGTAAAATATCCAGTTTGAGAAAAGCACCGAAAAAGTGATTGCTTCATTTAATCAGCTGATTCCTTTTTTACAAGTGGCTTGCCAGAAATCTCTTTCAATCTCTGAACAATCTATTTTGAAAAGCTCAGCTACAGCTGGAAGATTGTTTTGACTAAAAGTTGTGTCGTCTTTTAAGCACATTGACAAACAACATAAGCAAAGTCCCTTACTATTACCAGTAGGGGAAAAAAATAGAACAGTGCTTCTTATTGTTATTACAAGTGTTGCGGTAGGATGCTGCTTTTGTGCATACAGAAGCTGTAATTCTGATACTCAAAAATTATCAATGTAATTCAAAAGTCCTAGAACACAGATTGCTTTGAGAAATATCACTTGATGCCCCATCTCTCATTTCCCTTTAATGGTTGAAGAGGCAGTATAATTCTTCCTGATTTTGACAGTGTGGCTTTTCTCCTGCATTTTTTCCTTAGGCAACTGGAAGAAACCTTTTGATCCACAGCAGACGACAGAAAGGGACTTCTTTGTGGATCAGGAAAAAACAGTCAAGGTCCCAATGATGCATAGGATGGGTTGGTTTTACTACTATTTTGACCCTGAGCTGTCTTGCACCGTGCTGCAACTTGACTACAACGGGACGGCCACTGCATTTTTTGTTCTACCCGAACGCGGAAAAGAGAAGGAACTGGAACAATCGCTGTCAACATGTGTTTTGAACAAATGGGCAGTCCATGTTTCCCGGTAATCTGTGCTTCTGCTTCTATATGTTGTGAGCGGTGGTTGAAAAGGGGCGTAATCAAGCAGTCTGCCTTGTCTCAGCCTCCCCGAACAACTCACTTAGCATGCCATCAGATTTGCTCAGACAGAGGTGGGGAAATCACATCCAGCAGGTGCCCTCCCCTGCCCACGTTTGCAGCTTCCAGTCCCCTGTGGAGCCCCCACGTACCCCCCCCATGTCAAAATATTTTATTAATAATACGTTTTATGGACACTTTGAAGAATAGTGGTTTTCAAATAGAATAGACTGGGGGGAAATTTTTTCCACTTCCCATTTAAAAAAACTGACTTGAAAAAAATAATCAAAACTGGAAGTTGGTAGGTGAGCACTTCCCATTTTGACTCCTCCCTCACCCCAGCAAGGGGATGTACAAGGGCCCCATGAAGCTGGTCATCTCCATTCAGAAGAATGGCTGGTGCAACAAACTGAACTTTATTCCAGATCTGTGTACAGCAGATCAGTTGTCATCCCTGGATTCTCCCATTTCCAACTCCCACTGTTCCTTAGTCCAAGCCTTGTACAGCAGGGCAGTTGAGACTCACCCCCTGCCCACTCAATCTCCATCTTCTAGGTGGTTCTCTTTACACCCACTCCTTTAGCATCTTTCTTCCTTCTCTTGCTATTCCTTTGCTCAGAGATCCCTCTCAAGCTGCCTCCATCTTTTGGATTGGCACTCTCTTCTCCAGCACCATAGCTAGGTTAGAGTTGGTGCAGCTGGGGGCAGGCTAGGGGCCTTCAGTGTAGACCCACTTCTTCCCATGGGAGGCTTGATGTCAAGCAGGTCTAGTAGTCTCCTATGCCGAGCACAGTAGGTTTTCAAGGTGCTGGGGTTTGCAGTGAGACATACCTGGGTAAGTACAGTGTACCCAAAGTAGGAGAGGACATCTGGGCACCAGGAACCCTTCGGCCACCAGCCACTTCTGAACATCCACCCAAATGCCTATTCCATTCTTCCCTTTCCTATATATACTATCTTAACTTTAAAAATACATATACAGTATATGCAAAATGCAAACAACAATTGCAGGATCCCTCTGAAGGCTTTGAAGCTTTCCAATCTTCAGTTCATTTGCACCCTTTGCATTTGGTTTTTATTTTTAAAAAGGCATTTGCTGAATTACGAAGCTTTCCAATCTTCAGTTCATTTGCACACTTTGCATTTGGTTTTTATTTTTAAAAAAGGCATTTGCTGAATTACTTGTTGTATGAACGGTAATACATTGGCCTTTTTCTCTCAGAAGTAAGAGCCAGTGTGCTAGGGCTTACTTCCTTGTAACTATGTTAAGTATTACAGTCTTAGGTGCATTTTATAATTGATGCTATATGATATATATTGATGCTATATATTTAATTAAATATATAGCATCAATTTCCCGCCAACCTAGCGGTTCGAAAGCATGCAAATGCAAGTAGATAAATAGGGACCACCTTGGTGGGAAGGTAACAGCGTTCCGTGTCTTAGTTGCACTGTCCACATGACCACGGAAGATTGTCTTCGGACAAAACGCTGGCTCTATGGCTTGGAAACGGGGATGAGCACCGCCCCCTAGAGTCGAACACGACTGGACAAATTTGTCAAGGGGAACCTTCACCTTCACTACACTGGTGTGCTTAGCAATCTATAGAGATGGTCACGAACGGCTGAACTGGCAATTTGTATATGTGTGTATGTGTATGTATATATATGTATGTGTATGTATATATACTGTATATGTATTTATATATGTGTGTATGTGTATATGTATATATGTATGTATATGTACACACACACACACACACACACACACACATATTCACACTTTGGGTACACTGTACTCATCCAGGTATGTCTTCTAATGAGAATAAGAGTACAGTATCTGAATTGGCCCAATTTCACCAAGATGGAAGAAGTCTGCCTTTTGAAAACAGGGTCTATGATGATGATGATGATGATGATGATGATGATGATGATGATGATGATGATGATGATGATGATGATGATGATGCTCTGTGCATCCCATGAGTTTATTTATTTGTTTCATTTATAGGTTGCCTTTCTCCCAATAAGGGGACCTAGGTGGCTCGCAATATTAACAAGAATACTTTAAAACATAACAAGTTAAACATTGCAAAACAATTAAACGATACACTGATTAAAATACAAACTAGCAATTAAAAGAAAGTAAACATTAAAAAGTATCTTAATTTTAAAAAGTGCATTCAGGGACTTAATTATGATTGTTAATCTTTAGCTATCAGTAGAAGGATAAAAGGGAGGAAACCAGTTCTTTCAATGGAATCCAGAAGGCCACAAGGAGCTTGGCACAGACATTGGCACACTGCAATTACATGCTCCTGATCATTGTCATCTATCAGAAGGCAGGATAAAACATTTAACAACAGCTGAAGCATCCGAAGTCTTATCAAGGGCAGCCCTAGAGAAACTGTTATTGCAGCAGTCAAGGCAATGTAGCTAGCACAATAAATCCATATGAAGATACAGTATATAGTTTGCTCACATTCATCCAGAGTCAATGAAGTGATTGATAATCGAGGTTCTGTCTTCTCTCTCTGTTTTTGAAGTCACACAGCCAACGTGTACGTTCCAAAGTTTAATATTTCTACCAGCTATGATCTAAAGGAGCCCCTCATCAAACTGGGTATTAGAGATGTTTTCTCTGACCACGCTGACCTGACTGGATTCACCGGGCAACCTCTGAAAGTAACAAAAGTAAGTCTAAAATCATAATTCCCTTTATTCATATCACTTCATCTTAGCCAGGATCTTGTTATTCTCTGACCATATAATAATCAGGCTCACTGAAGTGATTGTGCTCTGTATCCTTCTGTTTAGTTTCCATGTTTCTCATCCTTCTTTTTTACCAAGGGAAAAAAGTACAAGAGAAACTCAGTCTTTGTAGGCCTGCGTTAGGAGATGTGACAGGGTGAGCTGCAATCCTTATGAGCTGAGGATTTTTCTAGTAACAGTAGATTATTATGAGCTATCTATATCTTCAGTGGGCAATTAAGAACCATTAGCTTTCCAAAAGACCTGCCCTTGATGGAGATGAAAACTGCTGAAACCAGTTTGCTGCTATAGAGCAATACAGTTGTCTGTGTTATTCAGTTCTATGTGGGCCCATAAATATGGGGTCTCTTATAATCAGTGCCTGCATCCCAAAATTTACCACTACATCACTGTGGGTGGGTGTCTCTGATGTTTTAATAACAAAATGAATCATTGGTTTAAAAAAATCACACAGGTTGGCTGAACAGACTAAACAATGACAAGGACAATGATCTTGTTTTAAAAATTCAGCAGGTCCATCTTCCCACATGAGGTTGAGATCACATGTTAAAGCAAATGCAGCTTTCTTTCTCTTACAGGGTTATACTTCTAGGCATGCATATCTTCCAATGGCTAAAATCCTGTTGCTTAGTGTAGTGAATCTCACTGGATTTGACCCATTGAATCAATGGGGACTTGGTGAGTTAATGCCTCTGTAAGCCATGGTAAGCGTTGTTGTTGTTTAGTCTTGGTAAGAGTAGGCCCATTTAAATCAATGGAACTTACAGTGGAGTTGACTCACTAGTTTAGTATGGTGAGCAACAGGATTTTGGCCAGTGTTACCTGCCTGAGGCATCAAACATTCAAACAAAGCCACGCTACCTTACAATGGATCAATTGAGAACCAAGCTACAGTGGTGCCTCCCTTAATGAGCGCACCGTTTAATGACGAATCCGCATAGCGATGTCGCTTTTGCGATCGCAAAAGCGATCGCATTGCGACATTTAGATAGGCAAAAACTCACATTGCGATGATCAGTAAGCATTTCGCTTACCAATCTTCGCATTGCGATGTTTACAGAACAGCTGATCGGCGGTTCCAAAATGGCCGCTGAGTGCCCAAAATGGCCACCGCAAGTGTTTTCGCGCCCTGCCCTCACTTACCAAGGGCACAAAATGGCGGCGCTATGGAGGAACTTCGCTAAACGGTGAGTTTGGGCCCCATAGGACCGCATTAAACTAAGTTTAATGTGTTCCTATGGGGTTTTTCGATCTGTTTAGCGATGTATTTGCATAGCGACGATTAATCCGGAACGGATTAACATCGCTATGCGGGGCACCACTGTAATATACTCAGCTTGAACCAAGGCAATCTCATGCTGAAGTAAATAAGTAGCATTTTCCCCTTAAGAGTGTGTGCTGTTTCTAGATGTAGAATCAATGCCTCCTCTGGTGAAGCTTTCAGACCTCGCCCTCACTGAACACTGATCATTTTGTATGTTTCTTTGTTTCTTCTCAGGTTAACCATAAAGCTGTGCTGACAGTTGATGAAAAAGGGACTGAGGCAGCGGCAGCCACTGCTGTAGAAGCCATGCCTATGTCATTACCTCCCACCTTGGAATTCAACCACCCTTTTATGGTACTGCTTTACAACACAGTCACCAACAGTACCCTCTTCATTGGCAAAATAGTAGACCCAACTGAGCAATGAGCAACCAAGTACTGTACAGCAAATTCTTGATGCAGCTCCTGAATTAAAAACTCACCTTGTAACCAAAACGTAATGTGACGTGTCATTTTTTTCTTGGATCTAAAGGAATGTAGGGGTGCAGGGTGGGGGACACTTCAGGCAGCTCTATCTAGATGCTCTGGTAGTGTCCTGCAGCAAGGTCACATCAAATATTATAACCCCTGCAAAAGCATCACATTTTTAGATAATGACATGAATTCTGTTGGTAGTCCCAGCTAGACTAGACCCACTGAAATAACTGGATTTTTGTAAGCCTACACTCACCCTTCAGCAAGTGATTCTACAAGTAATTCAATGGGTCTGTTCTGGCTGGGATCACCCTATGGATTTGGATCAACAGTTCTTCATCAGTTCATGCCAAAGTGCCCAAAACTACCACGTGCTGTTTATGAGCCATGCGCTGTCAATTCAGAACTGACTTTTAGTGACTTTATTAGCGCTTTCAAGATAAAGCAGTGATTTTGCCAGTGGCGCCTCCCTCCATGTGTCTCCATGGATGAGTGGAGATTTGAATACAGGTCTTCTAAATTGTAGTCCACTACACCTCCCTGAGTATTCTGTATCACCTGTACTAATTCTGAGATACAGTTCCAACAGCCACATTTGTGATACAAAGTTTTTTGAAAATAGTAATTTAAATGGATGGCTCATATAATAGTTCAAGCAAAAGGTAACAAGTGAGCCTCCACAATGTAGCCTGACACGATCTCTTGGGATAACCCATGCTTAAGCACTACTATATTCCTCATCTCATCCAGAGGACGAAACAGACCATTAAAGATTTTATAGACCAGTCCCCCTAAATTTCTGGAATTTACTGGAATTTGACAGGAAGCAGGGACAACAAAAACAAACAACCAAACTCTCAATTGGCCTCCTCAGCCACACTAGACGCTGTTCCAAGTCCTCCATACAGAGCACGTCACCATAGTCTTTCGAGACTGAAGGATGCCTAAGAAAGATATTCCTCATCTCATCCAGAGGACCGAACAGACCATTAAAGATGTTTTAGACCAGTCCCCCTAAATTTATGGAATTTACTGGAATTTGACAGGAAGCAGGGACAACAAAAACAAACAACTGAAGCAAACTCTCACACTCTATCTGTGATGAACAGTCTTTCTCCCAGAGAATCCACTGTGATCAGAATGGTGAGTAATGCAGACAAGCTAATCAAAGGAGGAACATGGCTCAATGTACATGTGCTATGTACAACGTTACATTTGTGTCATGGCTACAGTAGTTTTTTTTCTCTCAATCTAGAGAGATTAAAGAGCTTTCCATCTCATCTAATCCAGAGATCGATACCTTCTGTTGCAGTTCCAAAGGTCTTTGGAATGGACCTCAACAGATGGGAAACCCTGACATCTGAGCTTTCAGCCTGGAGGCAGGCGGTGCATCATGGCCTCTCCCAATTTGAAGAGGCACTTGTTCAGCAGACCGAGGCAAAGAGGCAGTCCCGGAAGCAGCAAAATCAGGGAGCTGGACAGGGGGCAGATTGTATTTGTCTTCAGTGTGGAAGGGATTGTCACTCTCAAATTGACCTTCTCAGCCACACTAGACGCTGTTCCAAGTCCTCTATACAGAGCACGTTACCATAGTCTCTTGAGACTGAAGGATGCCTAATGAACAGTAGATTTCATCTTCGTACAATCTATCCATGGTCCAAACATGACAGACATAAATATTTCATATATCTCTTTGCTGGTTCTAAGAAAAGTGGTAAAGACTATCTCCCGGGAGGCAGCTCTTAAATAATACTCCAATTTGCAAGCATGGCACTTTTTCAATGGCAGGTGCACAGCTGACAGATAAATCTTATGTATATCGATTTTCCAGGCTTGGTCTCCTGCCATTTTAACACCTACAGAGACTGCACATATGCTACACTGACTGTCAACTTTTTCCTCACGCTAGCGCCCATCTGGTTGAGTAGGATTATACAAGGATGGCTACACTATCCTTGCATCTGTGATACCTAAAGAATCCCTTCTCACACACACACACACACACACACACACACACATATGCATATGCATGCATTCACACATGCAAAGACTGCCGAACAGTTTGGCCCCTGGGCCTTGAGGAAAAAAAGTTGAAATAAATGTGTGAATTTCATACTCTGTAGCAGAGGGAGGCAAGGTTCAGAGTCTCGGACTCATTTTCCAACCCTGGAATTTATTCCGGGACACTCCAAATCCCCCATGAAATCTCAAAAAGGGGCAATGTTTCCACATATCCTTAACAACTTTGCCTTACCACATGGTCCTGGAATCAACCAGATAGGAGAAGAGCTGGGACTAAATGAAATAGAGGAGGAGGCGCAAGAAGTAGAACTGAACACATTGGAAACAATTGTTGGTGTACGTTAGCAGAGTGTTTGTCCCAGTCCAGGCAGTCCAAGTGATTCACACAGGCAAAGGCAGCTTCTTCCAACACCAAGTGTATTTGCAGTATATACAGAAGTTCAGCAGTACAAACCAGCATGACATTCATTAGAAGAGATCCGTACTTCTTCTCCACATGTCCACACAGTTATACACATGCACATTTACATACAGCCAATCAGTGTGGACATTGCATCATCCCAGACTGCATGATTCAGCATTTTACACACCTGTCAAGTATGGCTGCTGATTATCATAGGCCTTGTTCTGCCTCAGTGTGGAAATTATCCTTGACAACAATGAGCCCAACGCTATCAAATTCTACATACAATTCCCAAAGAAGTCCAGTAAAATATGACTTCACCTCAGCTACGGAAGTTTCTCTGAAATGAAAGAAATAGTAAATAGAAACTGAGTTTTGCTTGCCCAGTTTTCACTCCAGTACCTGCTTTATGAAACCTTGAAATAAAAGGTACTATCTAATAGAGCATGGGTGGAAAACATGCTCCAGGTGTTGCATTCACTACGTGTAGGGCTGATGGGACTTTTATTCCAAAAAAATCTGAAAAGACATAGCTATACAATCCTTGTCTGACCATAACAAAATGTTGCCTATGTTGTGCCTTGCTAAACCCAACCTCCTGCCTGGAAACTTCAACATTACTACCACCACCCCACTCCCTTGGAATGGAATCCACATATTTCTCTATATATGCTATATATACTTTCTATATTTACTAGAAAGAACTTTTTGTTGAGCTCTACTTTTTTGATGGAGGCCCTGAAATGTTACAGGGAACGCTCTTAAGTGCTGACTACAACACGAATTCCTTAGGTGCTGTCTGTAGTCTGCATATCTGCTTGCTGTTTTGTGACTGGCTGCTGAGTAGTAAACACAGCCGTCATTTGCAAGTATACTTCCTCAGTCATGAAGGTGTGTACCTGACTCACATCTCTGGAACACCAATAGATCTCAGCTCTCTAATGCCCATAATACATAGTTTAGCCCTGGAACTTTGAAAGGGGCAACATCTTAAGCTACTAATTTTTCAGTAGAATTTGAGGTGAACCCATATGCTCCTTTATTTCAAGTTCATCTGAAAGGTTCACCTTTCTTTTTCCTACTGGTACCACGGGGCCAAGCGCCACAAATCATAAATGAGCAACGGAGGTATCATTTACACTTTTCTCTGCTGCAAGTCACCCTGGCCATTTCGGTTAGCGTCTATGTCTGTGTGTTTCTTCTCTGTCATCTAATTAACGCCATGGATGCCATATCGCTCACCACCTGGGCTGAACAAATTTCTCTATCACATTTGTTCTTTTCGTTTCCTCTCTGTACCAGCTCTTCTTCACAGCCTCCCACGTTAACTCCCACATTGTAACAATTCCTTTCCTGGTACACAGCCATTTGTACAGAAGGTGGACATTGGCTGGCTCTGCAGTTGCACAGCCCACACTCGTTATCACACATCTCAATGTGCTGCCCTTAAAGGCGTATTCAGGAAGAGGCCCTGATCCTACTGAGACTGAGGTACTGCATCCCCACCCAATGGGATAGCACAGCCAAGGCTCACAGGGTCAAAATCCTGGAACATTTGGATTAATGGGAATATGACATCTTCTGCTCTGCCCTTCAAACTCTCTCTCTTAATTGCAATTTCCACACTATATGATGCAGAAATCAGTCTTCCGAGGAACTGTATGCTACCCTTGTTCTAATGCAAAGTATTTGAGGCTGCCTTGGTCTTCAATGGGCAATTAAGAGCCATTAGATTTACAAAACACCTGCTCCTGGTAGCAATAAAACCTGCTAGAGGACATTAGTCAGGGAGGATTGATCCACCTTCCTGTAGTTTTTCTGACTCTCCTGGAGCAGGTGCTACCTATGGGGACCGACATGATGACACCTCTACTTTCTAATTTGCCACTGTACCAGTGTATGAGAGCTGTTTAAATCCACAGCGTTCAAGGTTGGCCCAAGACATTGTGCTACCTGACGAAAAGGACAAGATGCCCCCATTCCATTCCATGTACCAAAGTCATTGGTCTAGAAATAGAAGCTTACCTCAATACAGTGGTGCCTCGCATAGCGAGGTTAATCCGTTCCGGATTAACCTTCGCTATGCTGAAGCATCGTTGAACGGGGCAGGGATTTCCATTGGAACGCATTAAACATGGTTTAATGCATTCCAAATGGGCCAAATACTCACCGTTCAGTGATGCTTCAGGATGGCCGGCAGCCATTTTCGCTTAACGAGGGCGCAAAAACATACTAGCAATGAGACAGAATCCTCCAACACAGCAGAGGGCAGCAGCTGCAGTTTAGGGGGCTCAGGGTGGCTGCATGGTGGGATACATAGACCTCCACCCTTCAAAAGTAAAGCCCAAGGGATTCGGGAAGAATACCTGCTGCTCCCTCCAACATCTGCCACCTGATGTGGTTGCCTCATATCGCCTAACCAACCAAGACAACATGAAGACCTTAAAGACCAAGAAAGACAATATAGGGAGAGCCATATACTAGCTATTCCAAGTCTTGTTGTTTTGTTGTCGTCATTGTTTAGTCATTAAGTTGTGTCCAACTCTTCATTACCCCATGAACCAGAGCACGCCAGGCCCTCCTGTCTTCCACTGGG